CAGCCATTCGTACCCCAAGCCCACCCGTGGCCCACTACTCATTCTCATCAGCACAGCACATTCCAGTGTGGAGGAGACAGGGTGGGGGGCAGAATCAGCACCCCAGGGTAGGAAGAAGCGAGTGTCCTCTGGGAAGTTTTCTAGAAAGCTTGATATCTCCTCTCTTATCCCTGTCCGCCACCCACTGCCCCCAGTTAGTTATAAAAATAACTAATTTAGCAGACAGCACTTTCTGGTCCAGTTACTACTGTCCTGTCCCACATCCTTCTCACTGCATCAGGGTTGCCAGGTGTCACTGTGCAGGCTTCAGTACACTGAGCAGGGCACAGCTCTACTGGGGTCCTCCCTGTCTTTGCCCAGGAGCACTCTCCATGTAATGTTCACAACAGGTATTATGAATGCCTTACATCTCCGGAAAGCTTCACACCTTCCTACACACAAGTAATTGCTCCACAGTTTCCAAATGAATTAAAGTGAATCCTTTTCTTTGAACATTCAACAAATAGTTGAGTGCCAGGTGAAGTTATTCTTCACCCAATTTCATACTCTGGGTCTTACACAGTGCCAGGCACAAAATGCTTATTAAATGCTTTACACATGAATGTTAAGTGAACAGATGCTTATTAAATGAACAACGAAATTACTGCTAACGCCCCATCCCAGTTTAAGTGCCTATTTGAAATCTACCTTCGTCACTCATGGAAAGATAGAAGAAAGGGAAAGGAAAATAATTTGTCATTATTTAGAAACAATTGTGCCCTGAAAAATCAGGTGTGAAAGACAATTCACATTAATCTCTGCTTGAAGAATTTCTGTGAGAGAAAAATCCACTTGGGACCAAAAATGAAGGTCTGACAGAAATCACACAGGTAAGAGGGAAATTGAATGGGATACCAAGAGAGAAATGGACAGAAGGAAAGAGGAAGCGGAAAAGGGGAGAGAAAGGAAAATATAAGGAAATTCAGACTTGTTTTTCATGATCTCCCTTCACAAACCCTCTTTTCAATATAAGTTTTTCAAGACTCACAGTAGTAAAAATTGCTTCATAAAATATTTGCCTTCTTCATGCTTGGGCCGTGCAGGTCCCTCAGTACAACTGTGTCTGCCAGGGAGCCCCACTCCACTGAGCGGACCACAGAGGCTCACATTTCTCCCAGTCTCTTAAGTGCTCTACACTGGAACCTTTCTTTCAAGCGTCAGCTGTGTGTATCCGGACTGCAGGGAGGAGACACCCCACCTAAACTGAGCTCAGCTCAGTCTCCTGGGACTTCATAAGCTTCCTGGCCCCCCTTGCTGCCCAGCTCCCTGAATGTTTTTACAGCCACCGTAACTTGAACAAAAACATTGTTTTTAGAGTGCTGTCATCTGCTCTCCAGAGGAGTGCTAAATTAATTTATAGGACAACAGACTCTGTCATCATCTCATATTATTCTGAAATGGCACATGCTCAAAATTGGACATCTGGGAGAGACAGCACTGTGTAGTAGAGACAGTGTAGGAGAGACAGCAGGTGTTCGGTGGGAGTTTGCCAGGTTGCAGGTTTACGCCAGCATTTTCAAGATGAAGAATGAGGTCACTGGTTAGCAGGGTAAACTGAGGCACTGCTTACCACACACGACATTTGAAAGCTTCTTGGCTGAAGGCGGAGAATTTATCTCCATTTCTTCAGGTGTGTGACATTGTAAATCATTAATCACAGCCCAAATAAACAGGCTTGGAAATTAGCACTTTATTGTCTATAAGCATTTCCACATTCATCTCCTTTTAGCTTCCCAAGAGTCCCTTAGTTTATTACAAGCCTTTCCTTGATAAATCTTCAGAAAGAGGAAAACAGTAGTCAGGGAAGAAGCATCTTTTTCTTTCTCCTTTTTTTTTGTTCTCCTTGCCAGAATGCTTAGTTATTGCTCCACTAACTTGTAATATGATCCTAATACATTTATTACATCTCTGCATGTCTCACTGTCTCCTATGCAAAATAATAGCTACAATGATTCTTAACTCCTAGATTCATTGCGACAAAGATGTTATTCTATGTAAGCATGTAACAATGCCTGCAACATGAAGCATACTCAACAATAGCTTGATATTATTAATTCCTAAGTAATAATACTGCTGCGATGCTGCTGCTCCTGATTATAATAGGGTCCTTACAGATTTTATCTCACTCACTCTTTAGTTCAACTCTAAGTGGTCTGCATTACTGTTCACATTTATGTACAAGAAAATAGTGAGGCAGAGAAGTTCAGTAAAGTCCCAAGATTACACAGGTAGGAAGAAACAAAGTTTCAGTGTGAGCCAGGGTCTCTCAGAATTCAAAGACAACACCTGTCACCATTCAAAGGCTGTGCACTTTGGCCTGGTTTTATATTTCTCAGGGTCGTAGCCAGGCTCTTCAGGGCCAACATCTCTTTTCTTTAAGAAGACATGCTGCCATTTTGTGCTGTTCAGGCTGATGGTCACATCGCCCTGAATGTACCGCAAACTAGAACAAAGAAGGTGCTTTATCACAACCTGCGAGCAGCTTATGTGAGTCAGAACCTCACTGTTTCACACATATAAAGATGTAGAAAAGAGGTGCCCAGAGTGCTTTGCCACCTTGCAAAATGAAGCTATAAGACACCAGCATCCTGAAAAGTACTTCCTCTTATTTCATTTCAGTTTCCTGTCACAACCACATAGCAGTTTAGCCTGTGGTGATATTGGTTCCCTATCGTCTAGTGGGTGACTCAAGGACATGGCGAGTCATTTCCCCAACGTGAAGAGGCCCTTGAGTCAGAAATGTTCTGACCATTGGCACTAGAGAGAAAATAACTCCTAGTCTACCGCTGTCACTTCCTTCTGGGAGGAAAAGGTAACTCCTGAGGCTCACAGGGGGACAAACGACTCTAGTACCTTCTTCTGGGCTCAAACTTGAGAAGAGCGGCCAACAGAGGATGGGTAAGGATAGGCAAAAAATTACATTTGTATCTGCTTAAAAATATGTGCAGCAGCTCTTGATGCTCTCCATCACCGGTTCTGCAAGCTCTCCATGGCCCCAGCTCTGCACCAAATGGCATTTAGAAGTTTCAGCTACAATCTAATCACCAGTGTATGGCACCATTTCGGAGGGGGGAAGAGAAGTCATAATCAATATTTTATGAAACAGTCTGCATAGTGAAGGCAGCAGGGTGGAAGGCTCCAGTGCTCGGAGGGGAATGCCTGTCTAGAAGCAGGATTTATAGTTGATCCACACCAGAGTGAACCCAGAATTCATCTGCAGCAAAGATATCAAATCTATTCAAGAAAGAGCTGGGTTTCAAGGCAAAACAGAGTCTGTAATCCAGATATTTTAAATAACTATTACTGTGCCAATGATGTTAATGTAGCATTAGTATATTTCTAGATTCACTGAAAGTGAAAATTTAAATATTTCTAAAAGCCCTTTGCTTTTTAAACTGGAAAAATATTTGAAAACATGAGTCTCCTTCCTTCCAAAGCCTCAATCAAATGAAAAGTAATAAATAAAATATTATAAAGCCACAGAACCAAGGAAAACAGGAGACGGAAATGACAGACAAAAAAGATCTGAAAACGTGTTTTTAGAAGACAGAAAATAAATGAGCTGAAACTAAAGGTGAGAGAGGAGGAGGAGCTGAAAGTCTGAAATGAAAACTGTCCAAAATAAGCCAGCCACATCAAGCCTGTAAACCATAGAAAAGCGCGGTGTAAGAGCCACAGATAAGCCCATTAGATGAGGAAAAAACTGTAGCTGCAAAGAAGGAGAAGAGGATAAAAATCAGCGTGAGGGTTATTTAGCTGCTCAGAATCACTGTCCCCTGTCTGCCCCACAGCCCGCAGCAGATTTCCTCGGTCGGTGATGGTCTATTCCACCAGTGAATACATCATCACCACTGGAAGCCGAGGAGGTTTCAACTCTGTAGAAACAGAATCAGAGATTTTTCAGACTGGGAGGTTACTTGGACAAAAAATGAAAAGATGCAAGACAGAAGATAAAGCTAGCACATACAATGATCATTGAAGAACGCAGATGAGAGTTCACATGGGAAAGAACTCCTCACGTGAAAGTCTTTCTCAGTGAGAAGTTAGAAGAAAAATGCCTTCGGGTTCCAGTCTGCCCCTCCTTCCCCCCAGCTCCCTCCTTAGGGAACAGCTCCTGCATCTTCCCTGGATTGCCATGATAACTTTCCAATTAGTCTTCAGGCTTCTGTCCTTGGCCCTCAGTATATGCTCAGCAAAGCGACTGGAGGGGTCTCGTGAAAACAGGCCCTCACGGCATTCCTCTGTCGGAGCCTGGCCTCCCCGGTCCCTGGGAGTAAACCACATGGTGTGGGGTGGCCTTACCTCCCCGGTCCGGGGTGTCTCCTACCATGCCCTTCAGGTACACTGATGGTCACATCGGGCTCCGTGCTCTTTCTCAAGCACTCAGGGCAGTCCGTGTGTGCTGTGCCTTCTTTTGGGAAACATTTCCTCCGGACAGTTGCAGCCCTAACTCCTTACTTCTTCCTGCCCTTGTTAGGGTTTCATCTTCTCAGTGAGGCTTACTTCAGCCACTCTTAAAAGCGGACTCCCTCCTGGCACTCCCTGTGTGCCTTACCAGCTCCCACCTCTCCTTCCCCACCCCACCGTGGCATGTGTCACTTTCTAACGGGCTTTTTATTTGCATGTTATATGTATTCTTATTTATGTAGTCTATGCATAAGTAGGATTGCCAGATTTCACATGTGTACATGTGGGATATCCAGTTAAATTTGAAATTCATATAAAAACATGCACTTTATTAGTCTAAGTATGTACTTTGCAATATTTAGAATGTATACATGCTTAAAAGTATCTGGTGCTTATCTTAAATTAAAATGTAACCTAGAACTCCATATTTTATCTGAAGACCTACACACACACACACACACACACACACACACACACACAAATGAGAGTCGAGGATCGTCTAGTTTATTCCTGATGTGTCCTTCATTCCTAAAATATTCATTGCTTCATTACAGATGCTGATTATTCATTCTGGACGATAGCACCTTTTCTTTCAATGAGTTCTATAAAGCAAGAGCATGGTCCAGGGCAGACTGTCATCCAGGAAATCAAGGATTCCCTGGAAGAACAATTTGGGCAGTATCCAGCGAGACACAGAAGAGAGCGGAAGCACAAAGGGGCCCAAAATGAAACCAGTGCCTTAACCAGTGTGCCTGCCTGTGACGGTGGCACAGACGCTGCCGTGATCAAGGAGGCCTGGAAAGGGCTGCTGGGGACTACTCAGGCCATATTTAGAACAACAAAATGGGACCCTGCCGATCAGGGAGAACAAGTTGCTTCAGAAAGCAAAGGTAATGGTGGTGCCTTACAGAATCTTTGCGAGGAACACACTGAAGACTGAATGGTGATCTGACCGACGGGACGTGGGACGGGACAGGTGGTTCTGAGGTAACGGGAGGAAGAGGCACATGCAGGTGTGGTAGGGTGAAGGGGAGACCTGGGGAGGAGATCACCACCTTCCTATTCCGCTACCCTGGGTTTATGATTATCTCATAGAAAATGCCTAAACCCTAAGAACTAAGGTAGAGCCATATAATTGTACGTAGGGACAAATAACGGAAGAAGCAGCAGTGACAGGCAAAACTCGCTGCCTCTGACTGAAGTCAGGAGAAAGCCGTGCAGGTGAGGAGGGGTGGGGGCGCTTTGCTATTCGCGTCTGAGTCTTATAGAATCATTTGTTAAATGCATGCGTATATTTTTATACTTAAATTCAGCGGAACATGTCCAGCTTTGTGACTTAAGAAAACAAGAGTAAAAGGGGAGAAATAGGTTTGCAAAACACCTACATGGGGAAAAAGAGTTTTCACTACGAAAACGGTTTCATTACCTTGAAAACCTTATTCTTCTATCAGCAAGTGGCTGGCAGGCTCGCAGATGCTTCGTTTTATGAAGATGCAATTTTGCCCGAAATCATTACAAGATCAATGATGAGATTTCTCCCCTTAACGCACTTCAGGAGTGGCAGATAATGGAGCATATTCAGACCTTAGGCACAGTGCAGTCACCTCATTCCATTCATTCCCTAACAGTTTACTAGTGACTTATGGTTATAAAATCCTTTCCTACACCACTTCATTTTAAAATTATTTTCCTGTTCCACATACTCGAATTTTTCTGGCCACCAAACAAAAATCATAATATCCTCAGACAAACCCCTGATATGAACTTTGCCGTTCACAGCCTTGCTGTTTGTCTTGTTTGGGCTTGTTTCAGCCTTCACTTTTCCCTAAGATGCACCACAATCTGCAATAATCATAAACTTCAGCATTTTGGGAAAAGTTTCCTGTTCTCCCGATTTCTCTCCACTCTTTCCGTAGCTTGGCCACTGTGTTCTCCGTAACCCTAACCACCGCAAACAGCTTTTCAGATACACAAAGGCAGAGTCTCCTGCATCTTGGAACTCTGTTTCTCAGCCACCTTAAGCCCAGATTGGTGACTTATTTCAAGGATGGAACGATTAGATGATTTTCCTGTGATTTAAATAGTTTATAAACATAGAAGAAAATTATAAACTAATCTCATGCACTAATACGTTTATAAAAATCACTTCTGCGTGCATATTTGGTCTTTTTGTTTGTTTGTTGTTTTAAGGCAGGGTCTGCCTTTGCAGCTCAGGCTGGTCCTGAACTCACTCTGTAGCCCAGGCTGGCCTTGACTTCATGGTGACCCTCCTGCCTCAGCCTCCCAAGTGCTGGGATCACAGGCCTGTGCCACCACGCCTGGCTCCTATTTGGTCTTATAATCATTTGCCTAAAATTTCTGCTCCATCTTTTACATAGTTTGACCTATTTTGAATCAAAAATATTTACTGAATATTCAATCTCACAGCTCCTTTTGCAATGTGAGGAGGTGACTTCCAGATTGTTAGAACTTTTCACAGCAAGGGCCAGAGAGTTGAAGACCCCATCTCCCTCTATGCCTGCTCACTTTTCCTCCAGGCTCGGCCTCATGCTGGCCTACAAATGAGCCTACTGTTTTCTGGGCCACAGGGAGGGTGACACAAACTCTGTTTATAAAAGCCACATGTAGCTAATGCCCTGGGAAAGTGTCTCCAGAAACTGCTTGTTGAAATTTACCCTGTTTTCAGACAAACTCCCAAAGCTCTCCTGTTGACTTTCTTAGTTCTGAAATTTATTTTCACCTTCAAAAACTATATAACTCCTTTCCTTCCAAATTGTACTCTAAAATTTCACCAGCTAGCTTTTATTTCTGTATTTCCATAATTTTATACCTCTGTCCTCTCTTTTCTATACTTTTCCATAGTTTTCTAAAGTCTTTATGTGTGTGTGTTGGCATGTGTGCACATAGGTACAGGAATGTTACATACAAACATGTAGCTAGATAAATAATTTATATATCTTGCTCATCTGATATAAACATACAACATTCATCCTCATTTCTTGATTTTTTTTTCCTTCAACTACTGTTAAAGGAAGTGGTCTTCTTTTAATTTGTCTAGACTGTGGGCACCACACTGGACTACTTTCTGCTTGTTTGTTTACTTCTCTGAAATGACAGCATTTTCTTAATGAGAATATCCACAGTACAAATCCTCAGACGTGTGGTTCCACTGGCCACTTCCTTTTCTTTTCCCAACAAACCATTGCATGCAATATGTTCCTCTTTGTGCAAATATCCTCACATATTCCAGGGACCCCCTTGCATATCTGTATCTGTATCGGTGAGAAGGTATAGATTTTCTGATAAATATCTACTTGTGTCCCTTCATTTTAAGCTGACTTGTGAGGCTGGACGAGCAGCAGAATTCACTCGCCATTGACAAGTCTAAACTATGTTTCCTAATTCTTTACATCCAATTCAATTAAACTTCCAGTCATGTGCCTGTCTACTTAATGGGCTCATGTATAGATCCATCTCTGCCTTGGTGACAGAAATGTCACCACTGTTGCCCCTCTGAAGCATCCCTTATCTGCCTTACAGGTCTAGGGAGGCAAAGCTGCTGATCCTGCAACTTACTCCGGTTCTCATCCTTCCTTCTATTTCCTTAAATGTCCCCTGTTCCCTGGTACAGCATCTTTTGAGGCCATCCAAAGCCCTTCTCTGCCATTTTGTGATTCATAACCCCTGGTGTCTACATATATAGCAAAATTAAAATAAAATTTTTGTAATTAATGTTAAAGTCAAATTAGAGGTTTCCAAATCTAAGATCCCTACTTCCACCCTTGTTCATTCTACGATTCATCTATAATATAAAATTGAAATGGCTCTTCCCTCATTGACCCTAATCATTAGCTCCTAAAAGTCATTGTCAAAACTAGAATTGTCAGCCTTGAAGACCTCAGAGCTGAGATCAGCCAGCTGAACTGAGCCATTTGTCCACACCAGCCCAGGTCCGATCTTTAAGTATGACATCACCATTACAGCTTGCTGCTCTTTCTTGCCTAGGTTTCATTTAAAGAATGCTCCCTCCCCTTGGTATCTTTTCTACCTCTTTACACAGTTTCACAAGGAACTCTATTGTAAAATCTTCCCGCATCCTCACTATTTATCCAGTCTCAGATGTCAAACCCACCACCCTTTCTCCTCTGTTTCTCTCACTCCCTATGAGGTCTTCAAGAAGGGGATTTAATTTCTCCTGATCCCTGTTCTTTTCATCTTGAGTCTGATTGATCTCTGATAGTAGCTATTTCGGTTAGAGTTTCTTCAACTTTGCAGGGGGTTTATTGTTATCTGTGCTCTCAATGCTATTTTTATTCCCTTTCTGAAGTTCATTTTATAGGTTGCTTTATTTCCAGTTTTCTTCAATATTCTGAAGCAAAAACATGTCTTCCCTACACATGGCATTTTAAACTTCTCTGTACTATAAAGCATTTTTAACCATTTTCCACACACCTTTGTCAGATTTGTTCTGGTCAAGGTTTGCAAAGCATGTTAAGAAAGCATATCGGCCTAGTTTTGAGATTTGTAAAACGGTCTTATGAAAAGGTTTTCTGAAAGAAATGATCTAAGTCAAAAAGAAAAGTAGAGTTTTGTTAGATAAATAAGTAGAAAGGTATCTCAGGATAAAGGAAAGGTATCTGCAGCTGGACAGCAATGTAAAGCATCCAGGTCTCTATGTAATGCTGAACAGTTTGCCATTCACATAGCTAGGATGTGAGAGCAGTGGGGAGACTATCAGGAGATCGAGTTCTTGGAGACGCCATGTATAAAAGGACCTCTCTTTATGCACCTGGATGAGGGTCATGACTAGCGTTTTGTTATACAGAGTCCTTGAGTAGACCATAGAGAAGTCAAGGTTTGAAGCAAGAGAGATCAGGTCAACAGCTTTTATAGGAGCTACGAATGATGGGTGACAGGCTGAGACTTGAGGAAAGTGAGCTTTTTTCTGCACCCTCACCTTCAAGAATCTGTGTATGTAAGTCCTCTATTCAGTCTTCCAGCCTCTCATTGGCCTTGCAAGAAACAACATAAAACTTTGAGCATTATATTTCAACTCCTCATCTTAAAATTTCCTTTGGACCAAGTTTTTAGGACCCCAACATTTGAAATAGTTTGTTCTTGGGATGAGCTAGAAAAAAGATCTCAGGCAGGAATACAGGAAGGTTTGGGGAATGCCTCAGAACAGGTGGCTTTGAACGAGGGAAGGGCTAACTGGGCTGAAAACAAGATGGATCAGCTGAAAAACCAGTGCAGGATAAGGAGTAACCAAGTCCAGTACAATTTAATTTCTATGAAATCAGTTCCACAATTTCCTTCTCATCATGTATTATCAGATCCTTGTTCTCTTTCCTGAATAAAAAAAAAATAGCTTCTGCCAATTGTTCTGCCTGTGCATAGTAGGCTGAACTAAACTTTTACTGGAAAATCTCTGATACACACATCCTACATTCTTTAAAACATGACTGAACATAATTTTTTCTTTCTTCTCCATTTATATCTACCTTATGCAAGCATCAGGCACACTATATTACTTATTATTTCCTGAATTCTGTAATTAAAAAAATAGAATATGTTCTTCCTGATGACATACAGGAAGTGATTCAAAACCTACTCATTTCATAGCTATTTCATAGTTTTCATACCCTCAATATCCAAATCAGAGCCCATTTGACCTTCCTTTGAATCATTCTCTTGTAATTTTCAGAAAATTTTCTATAATTGTTTTGCTTCTTAAAAGAAGGATCAAGAGAGAGAAAAAATAATTCATTGTAAGCAAGGAGTTTTACATACTATCTTATTCTCCATAAGGCCAGCCTGAGATTCTCTGTACTCTATTTATCCTTTCAAAGATATTTACTAATCTAACAAATAATATGCGGGACACTGCCGTATCAGTTCTGCCCAAAGCACGCTGTGAGGAGTGCAGGCTGTGCAGAGCTGAAGCCTATATGCCCAAATCAGAGTAACTCCCACCCAAATTCCATTCCCACAACGAAAATCTTCTTAACTACAAGGATAATGTTCTAATTACAACTGTATGTTTTGTCTATTTGGTTCCTAATTGGAGAATGCTTTGTCTTTTTCCTTTACAAGCCTTGCCTCCATTAGTTTCCATAAAAACTGCATGATTGAGCACCCTTACATGTAGACCCACCCTCTCATGGAGCTCACCTTTTCCCTGATTGATTACTAGTAAAATTCAGTGGCTTGTACCAACCAACGCCTTTACTGCATGACCAGCATTGGTCATCCTGGCTTCCCGATTTCTCTGTCTCTTTTAGTTCTGCCTTTTAGGGTTTCTTTCCCCCTCAGGCTTGAGTGGTACACTGAGCAGGAGATTGGAGCCTACTGCAGAGGTTTCCACTAATGTTCCAGGGGTTCCCAGCAATAACATATTAACCACTGGTTATATTATATAGAGTAAATCTAACATTTTTCTGTCTTCAGGAAGCTTAAAAATCTCTTAAGTAAATAGATCTTGAACACATAAATCCAACTATAATGAATATCAGTAAGAACAAGTCCAGTCAGGATAAGGGGATACAAACATAATCATTTGTGTGTCATCACCCAATGTAAAGTCACAGACTCAGTGACCATTGTCAATCTCCTTCTCCCTTTTTTGCCTCTGATCTAGAGCTAGGGAATTCAAAAAAACCTACGTTCTCAGCTCTCTTTGGAGCTCCGTGGCCAAATGAGTGTACTGGCCAACTACTTGCAAAATGTCTGAAAGGAAACCATGACTGGAACTTCTCCCTTCCATCCTCTTCCTACCTGAAACTCAGATAGGATGACTCCAGCTTGCAGCAGCTACCATCTGACCACGAAGGGAGAAAGGTGAACATGAAACTTCCACAGTAGGAGATCCAGAGTGGAAGACAGAAGGATCCTTTGTCTTTGTTGGGATGACTGTGTCCGTGAACCAAATGCAGCAGTGACAATCTGAATTTCATGGCACTGTGACGTTTAAGCCACTGTCAACCCAGTTTCTGTCACATGCAACGTAAAAGGGTCCTCAGGAAAAACGACAGTGTAGTGAAGTCCAAGAAGACTGCCTAGAAGGTGATCCTTCTGTGAGAAAGCTTTAAAAATGTGTATCTGTCAATCTGGCAAAGCAAGTTGGGGGGGGCAGCAGGTGGGGAAGCGTATTCCAGCCATGGGGGCTGAGTGCTATGAAGCACTCTTGATTCACTGTCTGTGCTACCCGGGCGTGGATGGTGACAATGGTGAAGGAAAACCAAGGGGATGAGGTCATCAGAGGAGCTTGGAAGGCTAGGCAGGAGCTCCACAGAGCCATGGAAGGATTTTGGTCCTCAAATTCTAGGCAAGACCTTTGAAGAACCTGAGGATAACAGGTTTATATTTCCTTTTCGTTCGTTCTGGCTGTGCGGTGGTGACTGAACAGACAGGAGAGTAGACGCAGTGGACCATTCTAGAGGCCATTTCAGGCGTCCACGCCAGAGAGGTTTCACAAGGCGGGTATATGTGCTAGGATATTTCTTACAGTATTTCACTGACTTCATTCTCATCTCCCTGCCCGACAGATGCATGTGTTCATCTTCCCCGAATGCACCACTGATTTACAGGGAGAGACTAACACCATCTCTGGTGTGATGTGGAATTGGAAGCATAGGGATGGTGTGCCTAACCCATCTAGCAGGGGGAAAATTGAGACACAGAAGGAAAAGTGGTTTAGCAAATATTTTGTCATTTTAGAGTAACTTTCAGGATGGGATCTGAAAACCATGTCTATATATAATATGAAATTAGAAAAGTATTTTGGCACTATTAATGTGTGATAATGAATCTTCACCCTAAAGGTTTCATTTTATAGCTCAGTTAGCATTTATAGGCAAAATATTTCTTTCCTGGCAATCAATTTCAAAGAATGAATAAAGTGGTACAGATACCAGTTGCGATCAAAATATATGGTCAATGTTTAAATTAAAAACTCAGAGTAAAAGACATATTGCCATTCGTCTCGCCCAAAACACTTCAAACACACTTGTCCCATCATGCTTGCCACTGTCTGAAGCACTTCTGGACGTCCTCTTTCGTAAGTGTCTTTCTAAGAGGTAATAAGACACACAGTGAATGTTGCTGTGCAGTGCATCTACTGAGAGGGAAACTACTAAAAACATTACAGTGTATCCCATCCAGCTCATTCACTGGATCTGGCACTGTTTTCCAGCTCTTCTCCAAAATAAAAATGGCCATAAAGAGTAAACATATCTAATCATTTCAGGACATTGAGATAACGACAGCAGTACAACAAAAGACATTCAGGAAAGATGGCTTCTTGAATTCAGAAAATGACAAGAACAATGAGGTTAGTGTGCTCAAAGCAAGCATGAGTGTCTTGAGGGGGGACTAATGGCAATATAACCTTTTGATCACACCTTGCACATGCATTTTATTATTTTTTGATTTGTTCTGTTGTGTTTGAGACCTCTCACTTTTAGGTTCAGACTGCCCTCACTCTACAGCCCAGGCTGGCCTCAAACTCTTGGTGACCCTCCTCCCTCAGCCTCCCTAGCTTGTATGTGGGTTTTAAATCTAGGACCCAGAATACTGCCAGGAACATGAACCTTTTCTACTCTAGCTGATTATCAAGTAACAGTTGATTCCCTCAAAGCATCTCTACCAAGTTAATGTCAATACCAATAAAAGTGCTGGTTACATAGCACAGAGTGAGGCTCCTGGCTTCAATCCACAGTACCTCAGTGGGAGAAAAACAACCCACAGGTGTGGGCAAGGCTGGGATGCTCTGAAAACACTAACACACAAAGGCTTCAAATCCCCAGTGAGAACATTTCTCTTCAACATGTCCATAGCACCGAGTTTACGAAGCCCTATTCTGTGTATGACTAGTCATATGAAGAAGCCAACTTACAGTAAATGGGAAAATTCCATGTTTCAATCATTTACTCAATTTCAACTATAATCCCTTATTTCTCTTATTTCCTGGTTCCCTTTTTTGTGTCACATTTGCTATCAGATTATGGCTCAGAATAATACTTTCCATTGGAATGAAGACAACGCGGAGGAGGTATGTCGC